ACACGGAAATGCCTCCCATTGTGGAGTCTACTTCTCGAGAAGGGGGAGGGCGTGTTGAGGAGATTGGGAGGCAGACGCCCCACACCCTGTGACTGATTGAATGTGGGGACAAAAGAGGGAAAGGGCTGTGGCCAACTCCCAGCCGGGGGGAGGAAGTGGTGCCTTCGCTGAGGTGGGGCCTTGGGCAGAGGCAGCGCGGGGACCCTCGCGGTGGCTTGGTGAGGGTGTGCAGCCTAGAAGCGTCAGAGCTGATGTCCGGGAGGCGGCAGGAGATCTGGATCAAACAGTAGGAAGAGGGGGCTGGACTAGAGACAGAGACTTGGCAGTTGTCTGCAGGTAAGTAAGTGTACACGGGGCAACGCCAGGGAAGCAGGTGCTGTGTGACGGTGGGGAGAGAGGAAGTACCAGAGGAGAAGGCCCAGGAGAAAGGTGGCCAGTCCCCCCCCCCCCCTTTGTCCCCAGGCAATGATGCGCATGCTTTGTCTTGGGTAAAGAACCCAGAGCTAAGTGGGACAGGGTGGGGCAGGGCCTGAGGGGCAGGGCCTGAGGGGCTGGGAGAGTCTGCCCACCCCCAGCTCAGGAGGGAGACATTGAATGGAGGGGCAGAAGCAGCCATAGCGACCTCCCAGTGTCTGGCCAGCAGTGATGGGGATGTCTGCTCATGGCTCTTTCTTTTTCTGCAGGAGAAGGGAGCGCGCCCTGCACGTCCAGCGTCCTGCAGGAGAAGCAGAGTGAGTTACATCCCCCGCCCCCCACACTCCCCCCCACATCTTTCCTTCCCTTGGATGGGTCCAAGCTCCACGGGCCTGGGGCCTCTTGTCCACTCACAGCCCAGGGGCTGGTAGGGTCTTCCTCACTGTGCCTGTGGGCAGGATCAGAGGGCCTGGGGCCGCTCTCTGCCCCATGAGCTGAGCCCTGGGTTCTGAGTTCCCACACACACACTGCACAGCTGGGCTTCAGAGCCAGAGGGACAGACTGAGGCTGGGGCTGGGAGGCTGAGCTCACAGAGCAGATCTGGGATCTGGGGAAGCCTCCTGCGTTGTTTGCATGTGGGGAGAGAGAGAGGGGGGACGGGAATGGGGAGCAAGGCTTCCTGAGCCTTTAATACCGTCTCCTTCGGGTGATACAACTACCAGGAACTCCAGACAGTGACGTGTGACTGGGGTCAGAGGCCCTCAGTCAAGGGTTATGCCAGGGCATGAGCGATGCATCCATCCCTCAGAGGCCATGCCTGCAGGGCCCGGGCCTCCCGAGGCCTTGTCATCCTTCTGAGCGGACAGGCTCCTCCAGACTGCCTTCTGCCTGTGTTTTCTCCAGGAAATGAGCAGAGAATTCAACCAGGAAAGACTTGGTAAAGATGTCCATTTGCTGACAAAGTAACCTCAGGACATAGTGCCTGGAGGTGTGGGGTGATCTTGGTGGGCACTGTCTGGGCCACATGTCTTTGTTCTGGGCAGCATTGAGTTTCCCACGAGGCTGAGGGCAGGGAGAGGAGCCTGTATGTGTTTGGGAGGAGGATATATGCTCAGAACTCCCTTTACTTCTCTCTCCTGCTATTTTGATCGGTGGTTGCAGCTTTGGGGGTGTGGGGAGGAAAAATAAATTCCCTTCTACCCTTCTAAGTTCTTGTAGCTGGACTAATGATGAAATGGACATGAAACAGATGAACAGGAAAAAATGACCAAATGGATTACATATGTACTCATAGGGTTCCCTAAGGACACATTGGACTGAGGAGATGGTTGCAGGGGTCTGGGACTTCAATTCACAGGTAGATGAGGAAGAGCAAACCTGTGGCAAACAAATGTTTGCTGGGCCCAATGGGCCACAGAGGGGCTGTCAGGCTCGTCCTGTCCCCCACTCAGTTCATATTGTGCTGAGGTGACAGTCCTCTTCCTATGGCAGGTTTTCTACCCAATTCCTTTAGTCAGGTGAGGGGGAGGGAAAGACTTTTTCGGATTCTTTTGTTTCTTAAAAATAGCCAGCTTAAAATAATATCTCAAAAGGCATATTTTGGGGTGGTAAGCTCTGCTGTTCTTCGAGGGGCTCAGCCCGCTCTGCCTACCCCTTCCGCAGGCACAAGCCTTCCTTGAGGCCTCCCTCCAACCTCTTCCATCCCCATGCAGGTCGGGCACCTGCAATGCCAGCTTCCCAGGGCCTGGCTCCAGCTCCAGGAGGTGCACAGGCCTCCCGAGAAGCTTTCTATGGTCTATCATGCAGTGGCGATGCAAGACAGAGCCCCTCGGGGATGGGAGGCATCGCGTCTGTCAGGGGCAGCCCCCGAAACGCAGGCCACAGTGCACTGGGGGGTGGGGAGGGGAGGGCAGTGCAGGGAGGGGTCACTTGCCCTTTCCTGTGTCCTCACCGAATGTAAGGGCTGAGCTCAGCTAGGTGAGGGGAGCCGTGTTAAAATGTACCCCGGGATTTTAACTTATAGAGGTGACTGAGTGGCAAATCAGAGAAATCAATGCCATTGAAAAACCTTATTATTTACAGTTCGCAAGTGGAGGGGCCACGCCACCCCACGCCACAGGGGAAGCAGACAGAGGTTTGATCGGGAGGCAGGAGGAGGGGAAGCCTGTGCGGAACCTCTCGTATTTTCTGAGGGGAGGAAGGCGGGGCAGAGAAAACCGAGTAGGACTGGCTGGTTCCAAAAGTGTCTGAGGCTCCGGCCTCCAGGGCTAGTCTCTAGTCTGCTCCCTGGCCCTGGGTGATTTAGGGCAGGGAAATATGGGCTTGGTGTGAGAGCTAGATAAAGGAGGTGGATTGATTGGTTTGCATATGACAGGCGAAGGCCAGTTTACTGTGTCCAGGAATTGGCACGCCCAGCTAGGCACCCCCAAGATGTCAAAACAACATAAAATGAAAAAAAAACACACAACATGATTAATATGGGGATGTTGGGAACCTGAGAGAGGAAAAGGGCTCAGATCATTCCTTCTGGGCCTCTAGGACAGGAAACCACAGCCAAACCACAAATCGACCAGATGTTTGGTGTCTTCTAGAACTGGCTAAGAAATGTGTGTGTAAGTTTATTTTTTCAACATAAGTATAGATTGTGGTCAGAATTATGCTGCTTAAGGATATTATTTTTTTAAACACATTTTTATTGATTTCAGAGAGGAAGGGAGAGAGATAGAGAGATAGAAACATCAATGATGAGAGGGAATCATTGATCGGCTGTCTACCTGGATGTGCCCTTGATGGGAATCGAACCCGGACCCTTCAGTCTGCAGGCCGACGCTCTATCCACTGAACCAAACCAGCTGGGGCTGGAATATTCTTATTTAGTGGAGAATAACAGTAGGTGATGGAAGACTTCCAGAGCTGAAATGCTCGCTAAAGTCAGTGATTCCCAGGACAAACCTATTTTGACAGTGAAAAAACAGCAACACTGTTATATGTTTTTCCATTCCGTTGGGAGAACTGTTTTTTATTCCACAATTGCTTCCTGCCTACAAATTTGTGCATTCTAATACTTTCTCTCTTATAAAATGATGGAGGTAATTGATGGTGATTTGTTCATTTTGAGTCCAAAAATTGGCAAAATAAAAGTCTGCGACCCTTAATAAAAACAGAATAACAGCAACGCCTGATGTTTACAATGTGATTTGCCATTTACAGTCACATCCATGTATATTATTGTAATTTCCACTTGGTTTTTAAAACCTCACTAAAAACAAGGTGGGAAGTGCCACAAATTGCCCTGGACCAGGAACCAGAAAACCTGGGGCTGGGTTAAGTCCTATGGCATTAAATCCTAGCATCTGAGCTTTAACGATATTGACCTTGGGGCTGAGGCCCAGTTCCTTCATTTACTCGCTGTGCCACTTTGGACAAGTTATCTAACATCTCTGAGCCTCAGTTTACTCAGTTGTGGAAAGATGACCATAATGGCCACTTCCTAGATTTGCTGAGGGGGTGGAGATAATATATGTGGGTGCCATGATCTGCACCTCTCACGGAGGAGGTGTTACTGGCGGGGTGCCTTCTGAGTCCCCTCCTGTAACTGGTAGAAGTGGAGCTCTTGCTTTTCCTGAGGCTCCCATGGGAGGATGGGAGCTCGTGGAAAGCTTTATTGATGATGTAAGATGGAAGGGGTTCCTCTCCAAGGTCCCATCTCCCTTGGTCTTGCCTTGGACATAGTCCAGCCGTGTCTTCAGCAGAGCGAGGACTAAAGCCACTGCCCAGAGTTCCTGCTTCACGGTAAAGCACAGTGCAGTCCCGCATCTGGCTAGCTTAGCTCGTGTTCCCAGCTGCAGTGCATTGGGCGTGGGGTCCACAGGGCTATGAGCCATGTGGTTGCTAAGGCCACGTGATGGGCTAGTGCACGGGTGAGTGCAGGACACAGAGCAAGAGACTGCAAGGAAGCAGGAGAGAAGCAAGAGAGAATAAGAGAGAGAGACTTCCTTTGTCTGGGGATTAGGTATTCCCAAATTCTCATGGGCTTGCATTGGGGTCCACCCTCCTAGCCAGTGATCGTTATTCCAGGTTAGACGGACAGGCAAGCACCTTCCCTACTTCACCCTGACTTCGCGGCCCATGTGCCCATTTCCCCCTCTGTTTGACCCCTTCCCCCAGTGGTCTGCAGGGAATGGACTGGTGGTGGTTCCCTGGGGGGTGTGACGTTGCAGCTTCCTGGTGAAGCTGCCCAGATGACCATGCTGATCATGTCTGGCTTCCCCTTTGCTTTCTGCCTATTATGAATATTGGCTAGCTAATTATGACAGTGACAGAAGCACTTAATGGTTCTCACTTAGTATTGCCTTTTGGATGAGCCTTGGCAACTGGAACACCTGGCCCAGGTGTGGGATGAAGCTCATCACCTCACGGAGCTGTCTTTTGACGCTGCTGGTCCTGTGGCTGTCTCAGTTGTTACTGGCTGAGTGTTTCCTCAGAAGTCTGAGTCCCAGGGAGCCCTCCTGCACCTGCCGCAGGAAGTGTGAGTGCAGGGAAAGAGGCCTGCCCTGGGCCATCTGCCGTGGCCTTGGCCGGGGGAATGTCCTAGAATCCTCCCTCCTTCGTGGCTACCAGGTGGCCCCAGCCTTCATCACGCAGCTGCTTGTGCTTATTATTTGGAGCCAGACATGAGAAGTCCGGGAGCCACTGTGTGTGGGGCTGGGTAGGGGCAGAGGAGAGAGAAAGAGCCTGGGTGGTGGTCGGGAGACCTGGGCCCCTCCCACTGACTTGCTGTGCAGCCTCAGCTCCTGCCTGTGGCCCGCCTTCTGTCCCACCTCTGCGCCCCTGTACTTGGAGTCCCTTAGCTGCTCTGGTTTTCTGTTGCTGCCTCTTTGGTTCCCGTGGTCTGCATGTCTTTCTGTTCAGCCCTGTCCACGCCACGTCACAGCACAGCGAACACTGACAGAGTGCTTCCAACCTGGCCACCATGGTGCTGGGTGCGAACCCTCAGGGCACTAAGCATCTGCTCCTCGAACCTCATTCCTGGTCCTCCATCCAAAGGAAATGGTGCCATTTTTCACAAACCCGAGCTAGAAACATGGGGCCCTACTAGCCTCCATCTCTGTCACCTTCCAGAGCGAGGTCAGACCCCTGAGAGTATCCATTCTACCTCCCGCAGATCTCTCCGAGCCTCCACCCCTCTCTGTCCCCCCGTCCCTCCTCTAGCTGAGGCCACCATCTTCTCTCTCTCAGGCCGGTCCATCCTCCCTCTGCTGCCTCCCTGCCTCCAGTCTCTCCCACTCCAGTCCTCCCTCCAGAGTGTCAGGGAGAC